CCCGCCTCGGCCTCCCAGAGTGCTAGGATTACAGGAGTGAGCCACCACGCCAGCTTAATTTTTTAATTCTATATTATTTTATTTCCTTAATTATTTTTCAGTAGTGATACTTATGTCTGAATAAACAAAAAATTAAATCATATGACTAGAATATTGTTTTCACTACCTTCACTTTTGTTTAGTGGATTCAAAACTTGGAAATCAAAAATGCCTTCATGTAGGGGCTTTTTAACAGTTTTAATTTAAAAAAAAGAAAAAGAAAAGGGGTCAGGAGAAGGAATAATTGACAAATGTTCACCACTGAAACATTAACTGCATGGTTCCATGCATCCAGTAAAGACATAGTTTGAGAAGCCTTGCGTTTTTTGTCAGAATTTCACTTGATTTTAACCAGAATGGCAGATCTTTTTATTCACCCTTCAAAATGTTGACAGAGAACCATAACTTATTTTCCATAAAAGACCCACAGAAGACTCACGCCTCAAACTTGCTGTTTTTCCCTGGAGTTGTTTCTTCAGGCGATCATCCTATCAACACACTGTGAGCAGGGGAGACCCAGAGTGAGTCGCGATGTGATCCTCCCAATATCAATAGGAATAGTTCAAATACACAAACAGAGAAAAGAAATAATGGTTAGAGCAGCAAAATTTACTAAACATGGAGGATGCAGTGCTTTAAAAGCTTTATCCCTTATGTTCTCAATAATCCTAATAAAGTAGGTGTTATTTAAGCCTCGTTTTAACAATGAGGAAACCAAGGCTTAGGAAAGTGACTATAATAATTTGTTCAAGATCACACATCTATAATAGTAAGTAGCAGAACTAATATTTGAACACAGGTCTGGATGAATCTAGTACCTGGCCTTTTTTTTAAATTTTATTTTATTTTTAATTATTATGGGTACATAATAGTTATATATATTTATAGGGTACTGTTGTTTTAACTACTATATTAATTTTGCTTTAAGTAGCCACATAACAAAAACCAAGGATAGTCATTCACTCATTAATAAATATTTATTCTATTGCCAGGAGAAATTATATTTTAAACTATATTTTAAACATAGTTTTTAAGACCATGACATGGAATGAAAAGCACATTCCAAGGCAAATTTGAGCAGATAGGTGGATCAGCAATTAGGTTAAACCCCTTGCCACAGACTACTAGGCCATGCCTGATTTGGACCTCACCCACTTCCACATAGGTTCCTACCACTCCCCACCCTCCCCTTGTCTTTACATTCCTGCTACCAGAACATCTATCCGTTCCTTGAACACGCCCAGCTGCTACATGAAGGCCTTTGCACTTGTTCCTGTTGACTAAATCCCCTTTCCTGGCTCTTTGCGTGCCTAGCACATCTTGGGCTTCTGATCTTACCTCCAAACACCACCTCGTCAAGGAAGCCTTCCAGGATGACCTATCTATCTAGAGCAGGCTCCCTTCAGTTGCTCTCTTGTCCACTGCCCTGTTTATATCAGCAGAACAGTTAACACATTCTGAAATTACCTTGTTGAGAATGTGTACTCCAAAAAATCAGGGAATTCATTTTCCTTGTCACCTTGGTATTCATTCCCAGTGCCCAGCAGTCTCTGATATCATTTATGCTTAATATTTGTTGAATATTTATAAACATTTATGAGGAATTAGGCAAAGTACTAAAGAAGTAATTTGGTTATGAAATATAAGAAGTTTAGATGTGAATAGCTGATGGTAAACCTTTCTAAACTTTTGAGAAAAGGAGCAAGAGAATTAAAATGACGTTGAAGGAAGAGTTTTGTTTTTTGTGCAGGGTAGGTGAAAACATGAAAGACTATGAGATGAGAAGGTTTATGTGGGAAAATAATTAAATTCCAGTACAGGAGATTGTCTTTGCTGCTTTAAAAATTTCTATAAAAATTTTCATATTCCTCAAGCTCTAAAAGTTACTTTTTAGTTGTTATAGTCTTAATGACTAAGATAATAGAAACCATTCCATTTTTTAGAAGCCATCTTTTTTAGATTATTTTTTCTATGATGTAAGAGTCATAGCCCTTCTCTCTATAAGTTTACAGTTAGAATCCTCTTGTCACTGGGCACATGTGCTCTTTGGCACATAACTGCGTTTTCTTTATCCACAGAACAGTATCTTCATAGTAAGCATGACTCTATAATAGCATTGTTGTTGAAAGAAAATCTGTATTAGGTCATTAAATATGAAATGTCTGATTTCGAATCAAAAGTGTAGTCTCAAACAAAAAGCAGTTCAATTAATCAAAGTATGTGCCTAAACTATTGACACAGTTTTGCCGTCTTAATGGTAGCTTATATCAGCAGTGAAGAAGCCTGGAGCGTGAGTGATGATGAAATCGTGCAAGGTGTTTTCCACAGCTTGTTGAGAATTGAATATTTTTCCTTGCAAGAAGTGGTACAGAGCCTGGAAGAAGTGGTAGTTGGTGCAAGGTCTGGTGAATACAGTGGATGACAGAGAGTTTCCAAATAGTTTCTGTAGTTTGAGCAGCGTTGTTTGTGCAACATGTCCTCATGAGTGTTGACTTGCAAGAGGATTGGCCTGTCTCTGTTGACCAATCTCAGTGCTTAATCCCAAGTGTCCTCTTTTTGTCCGGTTGGTTGCAGTAGACATCCACTGTAACCAACTGACCAGGTTTCATGAAGCTGTGGTGGTAATGCCAGCGCTGGACCACCAAACAAACACTAGTAGCTTTTTTTGATGAATATTTGGTTTTGGACTATGGCACTTCCTCTTTATCCAACCATTGTGCCAAATGCTTGTGATGGTCAAAAAGAATCCATTTTCCATCACATGTAACAATAGGGTGTAGAAATGGATAGATAGCTTTTATGTTGTGAGAGCAAAGAAAGGTAAGCTTCGAGATGATTTTTCTTCTGATGCTCATTTAATTCAAGCGGTACCCATGCATCTAGCTTCTTTACCTTGCCGATTTGTTTCAAATGGTCCAATGTTGTTGGAATAGTAACATCAAACCTTGCTACAAATTCATGCATAGGTTGAGATGGATTCGCTTCCACTACAGCTTTCCACTCCTCATTATCCACCTTAGTCTAAGGTGGATAATGAGCCATGTGGCTCATTTTCAAGATTAAAATTACCAGAATAGAAGTTCTCAAACCATCAGTGTACTGTGTATTCATTAGCCACATCCTTCCCAAACACTTTGTTGATATTTTGAGCTGTCTGTGCTGCATTAGTTTCATGATGGAATTCATATTCGAAAATAACACGAATTTTTGACTTACTCATGGTTTCAGAAAAATTACTCAAAAAAAAATTTGAAAAATAATCACAAGTGCATTTGCAAGACAGGATATATTAATACCTTCACAATAAAAATTAAACAAGAAGTGTCAAAGTGAAATGTCAGAGATATCAACTGTCAAACTTAGTACTTAAGGAAATAGGACATTTCAAACTTAATAACCTAATATTTGGGATAGTTTGCCTTCATAATTCTCCAAATTGGACATTAATCTGGTATAATATATTTTGAAAATTAATCTTCAATCAAGTTAAAAGGTTGGTATTTTAAAGGTTAGCTAGCTTTATCATGCTTTTGTAACTCTTCGCTAATTACTAGAAATACTATTTTGGTTTTGAAACTATTAGCATGAAGGGTACAGAGGAGCGATAATTAATATACTTCTATGGGAAAGTATAATGCCATGGTTGAAATTCAATAACAGTACCTAATATATAATTATAGATATAAGGCAAGCAGTAAAATACCTGGCTATGTGTCAAATGCTTGAAAATAATTTCAGTTGACAGTCAATCTCAGCACCTTTACATTTATAAATTACATGGGTATTGAGCTTGGATATTTTAGATTGGATAGAAAAATCAGATTGCTTTTCAGTTTCTCATGGTTATAATGGTGACTAAATATTACTCAGGTATTACTCAGACCTGTGTATAATAGAAAAAGAAACCCCTTATTTCCTTATCTAAAGGCAACAGCCCAACACTTGCATGAAAATCTTTGGAAGAAGAAATAAATTCTTAGATTGAAACTTTAGCCGAACCACAGTAATTCATCTTCTTGAAAGCTGAGGTTTTCAAACCAGTTAGGCTAGAATGGGAAGCAGATCCCATTGAAGGATATAGAACGATGAAGGAGAAAACAATGACAGTAAACAAACCTGAGCTAATGTTAATCTATTATGTATGTCTTTCTTTTAAAATTTGGTAGATATTTTGCTAGATGATGCCGGTGATGCAACTGGACATAAAGATGGCCGCAGTGTGAAAATTATAGTCTCCATAAGCAAGGGCTATGGTCGAGCAAAGGTATTTCTTTAATCCTAACTTCTTTATAACTAAAGGATGAGAATTATTGAATCAAATGTATGTTATATCTAAATATTTGTTCTAGCAACTATCCTATCAGGGGTGTTTGCCCTGGCATTAACTTAATATATTATACAAGCATGAAAGGAAGAGTTTTGTTTTTGTGCAGGGTAGGTGAAAACATGAAAGACTATGAGATGAGAAGGTTTATGTGGGAAAATAATTAAATTCCAGTACAGGAGATTGTCTTTGCTGCTTTAAAAATTTCTATAAAAATTTTCATATTCCTCAAGCTCTAAAAGTTACTTTTTAGTTGTTATAGTCTTAATGACTAAGATAATAGAAACCATTCCATTTTTTAGAAGCCATCTTTTTTAGATTATTTTTTCTATGATGTAAGAGTCATAGCCCTTCTCTCTATAAGTTTACAGTTAGAATCCTCTTGTCACTGGGCACATGTGCTCTTTGGCACATAACTGCGTTTTCTTTATCCACAGAACAGTATCTTCATAGTAAGCATGACTCTATAATAGCATTGTTGTTGAAAGAAAATCTGTATTAGGTCATTAAATATGAAATGTCTGATTTCGAATCAAAAGTGTAGTCTCAAACAAAAAGCAGTTCAATTAATCAAAGTATGTGCCTAAACTATTGACACAGTTTTGCCGTCTTAATGGTAGCTTATATCAGCAGTGAAGAAGCCTGGAGCGTGAGTGATGATGAAATCGTGCAAGGTGTTTTCCACAGCTTGTTGAGAATTGAATATTTTTCCTTGCAAGAAGTGGTACAAAGCCTGGAAGAAGTGGTAGTTGGTGCAAGGTCTGGTGAATACGGTGGATGATAGAGAGTTTCCAAATAGTTTCTATAGTTTGAGCAGCGTTGTTTGTACAACATGTCCTCATGAGTGTTGACTTGCAAGAGGATTGGCCTGTCTCTGTTGACCAATCTCAGTGCTTAATCCCAAGTGTCCTCATTTTGTCCGGTTGGTTGCAGTAGACATCCACTGTAACCAACTGACCAGGTTTCATGAAGCTGTGGTGGTAATGCCAGCGCTGGACCACCAAACAAACACTAGTAGCTTTTTTTGATGAATATTTGGTTTTGGACTATGGCACTTCCTCTTTATCCAACCAT